CCTCACTGCAAGAAGTGAGGTTACAGGGAATCAGGCAGAGGGCCTTCTCGGTAGTGGTGCCCGCCCTGTGGAACACCCTCCCACCAGATGTCAGGGGAATAAACAACTATCTGACTTTTAGAAGACATCTGAAGACAGCCCTGTTTAGGGAAGTTTTTAATGTTTGATGTTTTATTGTGTTTATAATATTCTGTTGTGAGCCACCCAAAGTGGCTGGGAGAATCCAGCCAGATGGCTGGGGTATAAATAATCAATAAATTACTATTACTATTACTATTACTATTACTATTACTATTATTACATTGGGGCAAGCTCAGAACTTGAACCCCTTACTTAGTAGAAGATTCTAAGAATAGACAATGCTTTAAAAATACAGCCTAAGTTTGGATTTGAAAGTCCAAATTTAAAATTGCTGCATTTAACATTTGGCTAAATGACTGTGTTACAGATCCATATTCAGATATTTCAGTCTTACATTAAAGGGCTCTATTACTACATTGTTAAGTGATTATTAAGGCATCGTGGTTTTGTTGTTTATTTTGTTGGGATTAACAGTCTTATTTATTTTGTGATATACGTAATTATTTAGTTATGATAATAATGAATAAATGGGTGGGGTATTTTTTTAAAAAAGAGCTTCCTTCAAACACCCATCGATTTCTTTGGAAGCAAAAATACTTCACTGCAATGGAAGCTGCTCCATTAGGACACATGGGATAGAGTCCCACAAGCTTTGTCCAGCTCCCACCTGCCTGCCTTCTTGCAACTGATCATGGCCTGCCAGCTTCCTCCTCCTTATTCTCCATGTGGTGTTTGTGGAACTCAGCAGAGAAGAGGATGGCAACAAAACTATAATTAGTTGCTTCTTCCTGTCATTGACTGCAGAGGCAGCTTTGGGGAGCATGACCGGTTTGGTCACACGGGGTGTGGAGCTTCAGGGACACCACAGGAGTGATGTAGAATGGCAGGCGAGAGGCGGGGGCACTGAATTTTGACATCACACAGCCTGGACTACTGCAATGCGGTCTATGTAGGGCTACCTTTGAAGGTGACCCAGAAACTACAACTAATCCAGGATGCGGCAGATAGACTGGTGACTGGGATTGACCGCTGAGACCATATAACACCGGTCCTGAAAGACCTACATTGGCTCCCAGTATGTTTCCAAGCACAATTCAAAGTGTTGGTGCTGACCTTTAAAGCCCTAAATGTCCTTGGCCCAGTACACCTGAAGGAGCGTCTCCACCCCCATCGTTCAGCCCAGACACTGAGGTCCAGCTCCGAGTTCCCTCACTGCGAGAAGTGAGGTTACAGGGAACCAGGCAGAGTGCCTTCTCGGTAGTGGTGCCGTCCCTGTGGAATGTTCTCCCATCCAGTGTCAAGGAAATAAACAGCTATCTAACTTTTAGAAGACATCTGAAGGCAGCCCTGTTTAGGGAAGTTTTTAAGTTTATCGTGTTTTTCATATTCTGTTGGAAGCCACCCAGAGTGGCTGGGGAAACCCAGCCAGATGGGCATGGTATAAAATTATTATTATTATTATTATTATTATTATTATTATTATTATTATTTAGGGTGCTGCTGAAATTTGAGACCACAAGGTCCACCATTTGGCTGTGGCTCTACCTACTGCCTGGTCTCCCTGCCTTCACCACAGGCAGAGGTAGACGAGGTCTCAGGGCATTGTATGCAATGCAAAATGACCGCCAGGCTGTTAACACAAGGAAATCCTCAGTATGAGAAGAAAAGCCTTTCTACTCATGCTGCCCAACCCTCCAGCCCCAATAAACTGTTAGAGAATTTCCACACATACACACAATACTGTTGGATGAAATGGTGCCTCAAATTTTGCTGCCGGCAGGTAATAATTTCAGGGGGCCATTTTCACTCAGCTCTACTTTTGAAACCACTTTTTTTGCCTTTTTTGGGGGGGGGGACGACAAATGCAGATCTCTATCTATTACATCGCTAACACCGCCACTGCCTATGTGTGGAACAGTTTTTTCACACCCGTACAAATATATGGCAGACATTCCCATTTTGCCTGCCAGAGTTCTTTTTATAACGTTCCTTTGGGATACAACCTACGGTTCATAACAGCTTTCACTGAGGAGAAAGAACTGCTCAGTGGATAGCAAGCTAGCCCTTGACTCTATTCAGCTTTTGCTTCATCCTCCCCCCACCTCCCCCCTCAAAAAAAAGAGGCCTTTCATTGCTGCGAGTCCATTTTTTAACCCCTGTGGTCAATACGGATCCTGATTTCCTTTTCTTTTCACAGTCTTTAATTGAACTCTCCCTCCAGGATTGTGAAGTTAGCAATACTATTGCAGTCTTTAAAGCTGGAGAAAGGAAAAATGTCAGAGTTGTGATTTCAAGTTTTAAAACTGGGAAATTGGGTAACTGAGCACTGCTACTGTAGTCCTTGAAACGGAGGAGGAAGGAGTTAAATAAAATGCACAGGTGAAGGTACACATCGCTCTAATTGCTTTGCTGAAGATTGTTGGGCTGAAAAACGAGCTTAATGTTAAGCCAAGTGCCTGCATGTTTTTGTTTCAATTAGAGGATCGTATGATGTCACATCTGCACAAAGAATTTAAGCTGCGTCGGCTGTCTTTCCTAGTTCTCTGCTACATCATTAAAATGGGAACAACACTTCTCACATACTTGACAGCCAAAACTTCTTTAACAGGGCACTTTGCCTTCCTGTTCAATCTAATACAGTGGTACCTCGGGTTACATACGCTTCAGGTTACAGACGCTTCAGGTTACAGACTCTGCTAACCCAGAAATAGTACCTCGGGTTAAGAACTTTGCTTCAGAATGAGAACACAAATCATGCTCTGGCGGTGCGGCAGCAGCAGGAGGCCCCATTAGCTAAAGTGGTGCTTCAGGTTAAGAACAGTTTCAGGTTAAGAACGGACCTCCGGAACGAATTAAGTACTTAACCCGAGATACCACTGTAGACATTTACTCAGTGTGCCTAGGATTGTCGGGCAGGGGCGTACGAAGGGGGGGCAGAGGGGTTGAGCTGCCCGGGTACCACTCGTGGGGGGTGACAAGATAGCCCGCTGCCCCCCAGCTGTAGAGTGGCCGAGGGCACGCATGCAGTTGTATGGGCGCCGCCCGCATGGCATCCGTATGGGCTGCCTCTCACACGGCGACTGTAGGGGCTGCCATGCGTGCGCAGTCCGTACGGGATGCCACAATTTGGGCTCTGAGCATCTGTGCCTGAAGAATCCTGCATGCTTTGCAAATACAAGCATTCTGCTTAAATAATTGTCAGGCTGGTATCATTTGTACCCAATTCTGATTCTCCAGCTCACTGACAGAGTCATTGAAAACATAGTATTGTCCATGTTCCATTGATACATGAAACTGTCCCTAGTATTCACAGGAAAACACATTTTTCATGAAATTTCTTTGATTGTATACCAAAGAATTCCACCAAGACCTTATTTAGTCTTACTCTCTGTTTTCCCAGAGGATGAGTAAGATCCGCTATCTTGTAAGAACATGGTTCTGTTCCTTTGGGCAGTGGTTCCAGTGGAAATAGCCCAGCATTGGAATTATAGCTCCATTTTCTTTTACACTGGCTGCCTTGTGGAGTGAAGTCTGGGTTCGTCCATTGCAAGAAAAAACTGACCTCAAAAAAGCAACCTTACTAGATACCTAATCAAGTCTGACTGATCTGAGGTCACCTGGTGACCCCAATTGACTTATGTTACTTGCCCCAGTATTAGTGGTGGACTTCAAAATATCAATTTGCCTTTTGAAAAAGAATCTTATATTTATACTTAGCTTTATTGTTGCTGGGTTTTCTTTTATTTTGGTGGGATATAATTGTCAAGTAACCCTTTTATTTTCTTTATAAATGAATTTTTGAAACTTAAAAAAAAAATTCAAACTGTATGTGAAATATTGTATGTGATGGAATAAATGTTGTTTTGTTAAAGGGTGGGGAGTTTTTCTTCCCGTTTTTTTTTTGGGGGGGGGTATATTTTGAAACTAAAAAAAAATAAAAGAAGAAAAGCTCAGACAAGAATGCATCTTTCAGCTGGTTCATAACTTCTATGTTTCTTATTAAGGAATAAATGGAAGCTTTTATTTATGACACAAACAGAACTTTCAGATCACAGTGAAGACAACACTGCTGTTCATTCGTTTCATCTTTTACTTATTTAATCAGTTTATACTCTGCTTTGTTGACCTGTAGGTCTCCAATGCAAGTTTCAATAGTACCAAAAGAAATCCGATTCAAGGTTAAACAACTCTAAAAACTTCATTTTGATGGACAAAAGAAGAGTGAATTTACGGGGGGGGGGGGAGACTACAAAAATATCAGACATTCAAAGAAAACTTCAGAGCTGGCATCACCATTAGAGTAAATGAGGCCATTTATTCTGACAGCACATAATGGAAGCAGTGACAATACTTTTGCCCTCCACCGCAAGCCATCCTGTTCCTTCTCTCTGGTTGCAACATCCATTAAAAAATTGAATTATCACAACATATAACTCCCCATTACATAGCCACAATATTTATTTACATTATTTTTTCCCCATCTGGTTTTATTCCCCTTCTCCTGGTCTTGTATTTCTGATAATATATCATATTTCCTTGACAATAGTGAGTTATATTTAAACATATTTGTTCCAATTTTGTTAATTGCTTATGCATGCCTTTAGTTCTTTAAATATGAATAAAGCAACATCTGATTTCCAAAACCTCCATTATTGTTTATTTGAGGGGTTTTCTGCACTTAGCCTTTATAGTGGTATGGTTACTGTTTGATCCACTGTTTTTAACCTTTATACAGAATTCCAGGGCAAGTCCCTGACCTCAGCTGCCCTTTTCATTGTGCCATTTAAACATACCATATTTTTTGCTCTATAAGACGCACTTTCCCCCTCCTAAAAAGTAAGGGGAAATGTGTTTGCGTCTTATGGAGCGAATGCAGGCGGGAGGCTCTGCTCAGTACTCCCTTAAAAGAGCCACGTGGAGCGTGTTTGCAGCTCTTGGGGGCTTTTCCCCAAAGAGGGAGAAGGGCAGCCCGTCGGTCCCTTCTCCCTCCTCGGGGAAAAGCCCCCAAGAGCTGCAAACACGCTCCACGTGGCTCTTTTAAGGGAGTACTGAGCAGAGCCTATGTGCATCCCAAGCTCTGCCCAGCGCTCCCTTTCACGAGGCTCTTGGAGGCTTTTCCCTGAGGGGGGACCTATATGATGTCCCCAAATTTCAGCTAGTTACCACTTAGGCATTAATGGGGTCATCTAAGCCCTTGCTGTTGCATCCCTGACTGCATTTGGTTTATGAATTTCACATTTCCCTAATTTCCATAGCCATGATTTTTATTTTATTGAAGGCCCTGCATATTCCAATGCCTAATGGATATTTGCTGGTTGAATCATCGAGTCATTGCAGTTAATAATGCAGCTTGAAATTATCAACCAAATAGGAATTGCCAAACTGCCATTCTTAAATTCTTTCCCCACCCCACCCCCAGTGTCTCTAAATATTCTGCGAATTTCTGAGTCCAAAATAATTTGATCAACTCATGAAGTTTTAATTCTTGTAGTTGGGATACTTGGTGGATTATTATCAATACATTCTTTAAATATAGTCAAATATGAAATTGTCAACAATAATATATTAGGCAACATAGTCATCTTGATATCCAGCCATGAGAATATCCCCTGTGCCCATTTCCTCATGTCGGTGTTCATTTTATTAATGATTAAATCAAAATTACTATCATAACGTCTAGAAGATTTTGTGATATCAAGATTCTCAAACATCACATTCCAACAGATTTCTATTTTGCATGTGCCTTATTTGTTATTTTTTTATTGTTCTTCTAAGTTAAGCCCTAATGTTCTGGACTTTGTTGGATTAATGCCCAAAGTGCTGAATTTTTGTAGGATATCCATTAAGCTAGTAAGTAAGCGCCACGGGCTCTATAATGTAAAAACTATGTCATCAGCATATGTATATAGTTTGAGCTCATTCCTCTTCACTGAATTCCTACAACTCCTACACAACTTTAATCCATTATTGCCATATTTGTATATGAAGATTAAACAAAAGTGAAGATAAAAGACAGATCTGTCGCACCCTTCTATATAATTCATCATTTTATTGAAAATATACAACTAGCACCAATCATTTCCTTTGAAAAGATGGACATACGCGCACACACACTGATATCTCAAAAAAAAAAAAAAAAAAAAAATCCTAACTCCAGTGTATCTTGGCATTCTTCTGCCCACGGCTTCCCCAATTTGACACCATTCAGGTGGAACAGCAATTAATCTACCAGAAGGCAAGCTTTATTCAATCAAGTCATCACTGACTTATGGAGTCACTGAGTGATAAACATGCATGTACCGTATTTTTCCGTGTAAAAGACTGGGGGGGGGGGTTACCAAAAAAAAACAGGTTTAAAATTGGGGCTCATCTTATACATGGGTAGTGTTGAGGGGGGTTTTCTTAATTTGGAGTCCCCCAGAATAGGGGCATCTAATACATGGGGGTGTCTTATACACGGAAAAATACAGTAAGTGAAGTACCCATCATTCTTCTTGGGCTCTTCCTATAGTTTCATGACATCAACAAAAGGACTTTCTCCTCCTCCTCCTTCTTCATCTTCTTCTTCTCCTCTTCCTCCTCCTCCTCCTCCTCCTCCTCCTCTATGAATTAGTGGTACAATCATATTGTGCCTCAACATTTTTATTATTCTTTTCAAAGTTGTTTTTTAAAATATCAGCAAATCTCAACAGCTGCAGACTAATTATGTGAAGGTTAAAATAAATCAGATAAAAATAACCCTTTTGCTTCAGATGAACTAGAAGAGATTATTGGACTAAGGATGCTTAATTGATATGATTTATAGATGTTTATTGTGTTTGATCTTTGAAAGACATGCATGAGATATGCAGCTAAGTACCAGTCAAGCAAAGAATTGGAGGACTGATTTCCCAGTTAATCTTAATTCCTTAGCCCCATGCAGGAAAACAATCTTCAATGGAGAGCTGTGACAAAGAGGATGCATGATATTTGAATGCTTTTGGAAGCTCTTTTGAGATTCTTCCTATTTTACTAAATGTATGGAATGTCAAATACAATCTGTATTTTAAGTAATGACACTTAGGTTTAGTCAACACACCACTACAATCACATGCCCCTGACCAGCGCTTTTTTTCTGGGGGGACGCAGGGGTATGCATACCCCTAAACATTTTGTGAATCTAACGGGAGAAGAAACGGCTACCACCATTGCAACAGAACTGACGATTCACCATGCTAGAGAAGAAACTAAAAACTAAATTTCCTATCATGGTGTTTCCTGAGTCTCAGATGGAAGTGAGCGTTTAATGTGTGAAGTAGGAATTCTAATCTAGCATGGTGATTGGTCAGTTTCATTGTTACCACCTCTGATGGCGGCTTCATTTCCGGGAAGAATTGGGAAGATGTTAGTGCACACAACCTCATGCCAATGTGGAAGTTACTGTGAGTTGTCAGCTGTGTAATATGAGGTAATGCATGTTCTTTGTATTTTTGTCCATTTACCGTATTTGTTTTTCCTGATTTGAACTATCAAATGGTGGTTTTCTTGACTCTGAATGAGAATACTCCTAAACATTTTTTTTTCAGAAAAAAAACATTGCCCCTGACTTACACGATCCATCTGCTCCAAAAAAAAAGGCACGGACTAATTGCAAGAGTAGGTCCTAGCCTACCAAGGCTGTGGTGTGTATAAACTGAAAGACACTGTCATACTATGCTGTGTGTAGGATTTACTTGTTTGGGCCCAGGGCTGGTGCTATCATTTGGTCAAGTAGGCAACCACTTACGTCACAGACCTTGGCGTGCCTGAATTTGACACTTTTAAGAGACTTAAATTTTAACCCCACAATCCACAAGACTATTCAAAATTATTTGTATGCTAAAACATTTTCTTTTGCATCTGAAAAAGATAACCAATGAAGGTTGTCCCACTAAAGGAGAATCACGTTTCAATCTCCATTCCTTCCATATTATCAAATTTCATGTTAGGGGATGTTAATCATGTCTTCTAGTGCCTTGTTGTCCATTTTCTGATAAGGGAGTGAATACATAAAGTATCGAGCTCTATCATTTTCCTCTTTTAACCTCGGGACCTGGTCTGAGCCATGTAAAATCAGAAGGATCTTGCGTAAGTGAGCAGAGTCTTTAAACCCTTTTAGGTTGGCCATCACTATATCTCTTTCTTTCTTGACTATATAAAGCATTTTATGAAGTAGCTGAGGTCTCATGTTTGCATAAATAAAATTTAGTAGTTAGATGTCTCCTACCACTTCAGATAAACATCCTAATATGGAAGTTGAGCTACCACAGGATGTTGGTGAACCAGATTGACTCCTCTAATGGATAGGTATTTATCTAAAATCTGCCTTACATTATTAAACACCTTTATATACAATTTCATGAAGGCGGTGTGGTGGCTACCTTTTAACCACAGGTAATTGATGCTTGGAGCAGCTTTGAAATTGAAGCCATAAATAGCCTTCGGAGTGACAAGATTTGATAATGTGCTATTCCTCCCAGGGAATGGTGGCTGCCATGTGTCCATTTGGCCAACCATATTTTTTTTCCAAACAGTGTCCCTGGTACAACATGACATCACACCCCATTACTGCCTGCACGTTAAATTGGCTATTGTATGCTTTAAATAGAGGGTGGGTGTGGGAAAACAAGGCAGCCTTCAAATCAGCTCAAGTTATGTTCTGAGCCACACTTTAGTCTGGAAAGTGTGGATTGGGTGAATTTCTCAAGCACTCCAGCTATTTGTTGTTGTTTAGTCGTTTAGTCGTGTCTGACTCTTCGTGACCCCATGGACCAGAGCACGCCAGGCACTCCTGTCTTCCACTGCCTCCCACAGTTTGGTCAAACTCATGTTAGTAGCTTCAAGAACACTATCCAACCATCTCGTCCTCTGTCGTCCCCTTCTCCTTGTGCCCTCAATCTTTCCCAACATCAGGTTCTTTTCCAGGGAGTCTTCTCTTCTCATGAGGTGGCCAAAGTATGGGAGTCTCAGCTTCAGGATCTCTCCTTCCAGTGAGCACTCAGGGCTGATTTACTTCAGAATGGATAGGTTTGATCTTCTTGCAGTCCATGGAACTCTCAAGAGTCTCCTCCAGCACCATAATTCAAAAGCATCAATTCTTCGGCGATCAGCCTTCTTTATGGTCCAGCTCTCACTTCCATACATCACTACTGGGAAAACCATAGCTTTAACTATCCGGACCTTTGTTGGCAAGGTGATGTCTCTGCTTTTTAAGATGCTGTCTAGGTTTGTCATTGCTTTTCTCCCAAGAAGCAGGCGTCTTTTAATTTCGTGGCTGCTGTCACCGTCTGCAGTGATCATGGAGCCCAAGAAAGTAAAATCTCTCACTGCCTCCATTTCTTCCCCTTCTATTTGCCAGGAGTGATCTTCATCAAGGTCATTTGCTGGGATCTCAGAAAACACGTGGGGTTATCTGCAAACAGCTTTTCCATAAGGAAACTCTGACTTAATGTACCTTCTTGTAACATAGACTTACCAAGTATGCAAGACACAGAACACTGTGAAAGTAACCCATGGCATCTGCTTATCTGCTGCTGGCATTTCTTGTTACAAATGATCCACCTATTCACTGACCCCTCTGGAACGTAACACTGTTCACCTAACCATTCCCTTTTCATCCACGTAGCACTTTAGGGAACAGATTATAGTGCAATAAAAAAACCTGGCATTTTACCTCCGTCCATGGGATTCTTGTTATGTTTGTAGTAAAGGACTTTCTTTATATACGGGTCAGCAGGTTCAGATTTGTACATTTGAGTAAGGCCTTTAGTCTCTGTACTACTTAGCACTACCCTCATGGTATTAAAATGACATTTCAAAGCCAAACTGGATGGCTGTTTCCGCTTCTTGTTAACTTTGCTGTGACTCACTATACTGCAGACTTCTAAACGTTATCATTTCTACGGGAAGTCCTGTTTTTTTCCTTTTTCTTGTTATACTCTGATGCAGGAATCTAAAAGGTGTGGCAATGCGTTTGTCCAATTAGATAAGAGACCCAAACCATTG